TGCTGATCCAGAAGACCACATCAGATTTTAAGAGGGGAACATATTTTGATTCTCTGTAAATTCCTGGCAATTTCCCTTTAAAAACATTTACATCATGAAGATTGGGTACATCGCACCAAAAATGCAAGAACGGAGGGAACACGACAGTCTTCCCCTGGTGACATAGTCGTTTTAAGTTGCTGTCAAAAGTGAGTGATACTGTTTGTGGTAACACCTGTGAGTGACAGTTTAGTGCAGTTAAGCTAGGATTTGGCTGCAAAAGAGCAGTTCCGCTCATAAGCTGGCATTTTCAAAACTGCCTTCTCTTTTTCTGAAAGCCCCTTTCTTCCTTTTCACCTTGATTCCCCATGCCTCAGTCTAGTTCCATATACCTGGCTCTCAATTCAAGTCCAAGGAGATAGTGCTTGGGTGGCAGTTTTAGAGAAAATGAATAAATAGAAAACACGTCTCTCAAGGGGATAAGCAGTCCAAACAAGTGTGTCAAGTCCCGTCATGCTTTCCTGAGAAGGCTTCAGTGTTAGTGAAAGTATTATATTGCTGCTACTCACTGATTTGTCAATCAGTCAGACAGTAATTAATGACCACTAACGTCAAATGTAAAAAAGTAGCTTGAGACAGAGCATGACCTGTCTTAAAGGATAAAATTTCACGCAAGTATAAGACTCCAAGTCTGTCCAGGAATGATCAGCACTCAGCTCTGCTTTAGAGTAGAGGAGCAGCTTAAGTTGGATTCAGTCATTCTGTAAATATAGGGAAGAAGGAGAGAAATATGATATTGTTTAGCAATTGCAATATCAGGGGAAAGATGTATGAATGAGAAGATAAAGAGGAGGAGTTCAGCAGTCCAGTATCACCTCCATTTGCTATCACTGTGAATATCTGTTGAAATTCCCTGGGACGCACAGAGGAGAATGGCTGTTCTCCTTTAGCTTGTAAGGAGAGTGGCAGAAGAATCTGTGTGGCACGAAAACAACTTTCATATGGTCTATAAAGTGAACTGTTACCCCTTGGAAGCCTGAAGCAGGACTGGCACTTGCTCTAACCTGACTCTTGGAGCCTCCCTAGGCAGAAAAGAACAATTCAGTGAGCATGGTCATTAGGGCTCGGGTACTGTAATGAGCCCTGAATTCCCTTCCTGATTTAGCTGCAGTTCCTAACCTACACAGAGCCAGTTTTGAAAGCTTAATAGTAGCATGGATTCAGTGGGTCTAAGCAGCTGCTTGGTGATGGGAGGAGAAGGTTTTTTCCTGTGCAGGGGCATCCCTGGAAATGTGCATATCTCAAGCCATAGCCAAAAAACGACTGGCAAAGAAGGTAGCATCTTTCTGGTACATCACAGAAACAGCGCTCCTTTAAAGTCAGCTTGGAGACCCATTCTGAATGCAGTGAGTCTTTCCTGAATGCACATACATACGCACATACACACCTCTGTAATTGTTTTTCCCTTTTCAAGCTTCTGCAGTGTACCTCAGCAAAGAAAGTACAGAATGAGGGTGACACGCAAATCCTATTAATTCATCCAAGTATGGAAATACAATCCTTTTGATGTCAGAAAGTACAGCAACGATATGTTAAAGAGCTCAGCACATTTCAGTTAAATATGTAAGCACATTTCAGTTAAATATGTAAAGTGCAGATTCCCCCAAAGCTGTATCACTCCTGGATAACCCTGAACTATAGCTCCTTACTTTAACAGTCTGAGAATTACTCTAACAGCATTATACCCTTTTGCCCGACAATGTGGTCAGATGTTCTTAAGCGGATTTGAGTTTAGCTTGGATTTAGTAACACCGTTCCTTCTCTGCAGCTTGCTTAGTTTCTTTCCTTAGGAGAACGTAGGTGACAGATTCCGCAAAGTGGCTCTATACAGGAAATGAGCTTTTAGAGAAAGGGTGGAAATTAAGTTGTTTGATGCACTGCAATCCGAGGGAATGCTTTTAGATCCAAAAAAATGTCCCTGGGTTCTGGGGGAATTTTTTTGCCCTCAAATCTGAATTTGAACTACAGTATTTTTTTCTGAAAAAAATACTAACTGAGACAGGGGCACAGAAGGAGGCTTTCAAAACCCATGTAGCAACTACAGGGACAAAAAGTTTCCTCCTGCTCCTGTGTCCTAGCTGAGCAGGGCAGTTGCCCTCATCAGCTCCACTTTGCACGCTGTGCTCATGCTCAAGTAACTTCAGAGCTGCTGCCCAGGTATTTTACCCTCCCTGTCCCCCTCGCCCCCGCCGACTGCAAAAGTCATTTGAGAAATCAGTGGGATCTTCTGAGTGCTCTTTGAAACTGAAATGGGCTAAGTAGGTGGTCGTCCACAAATACTGTCAGAATACTTTATACATGATTTAGGACTATTTTAAGTGCACAAAAAACTCCAGAGTCGTCGATTGTGTTCTCCAGGTTTTCACTGGAACAACTTTGCTTTTCTTTCAGGAACCAGGGCATACTACTTAATCTTTGAATTTTCAATGTCTCTTCCTTTCCAGACCTACTACAACCATCACATCTTGGCTTTGCTGCAGACTTTGGTGACAAGTGGGACAAGCCCAGCGTTGGAGGAACAACTGTTGGAAAAGGACAGCATACTGAGCAGAAATTCTGACAAAATAATTCACATTGCATCCCGAGCCAGATCCAAACTGGCACTCCTGCCAGTGTCCAAGAGGTTATTAACGGGTGTCATGGTGAGTTATATCACTGAGCGGTGCTTCATAGGCTGAGTTTTCATCCCTGCCGCTAGCAGAAGTGGAAACAAAAGGCTGGTTGTGATTACCCGAAGTTCGGCTTCTTTCAGCTGAATCCACTATATAGCTTGAAAAGGCTAAAGACATCAAATAGTCTCATTTAATACTGGCTTCTAAGCTTTTGGGAAGCACTGGTTTTCTTTTCTTTTTTTCTTTATCCAGTGATAAACACGTAAGGGTCCTGGTCCTACTACTGCAGCTCCCAAATGTTATGGCACTAGAAATAGTGAACAGTGATTGATACCAGTAATGATACTTGGTTAAACGCGTGACTTAGTATTAGGCTGAATTGTCTGCTTTGGTCCCTTTGGGATAAGAGTGTTTTTGCTTCTTTTATAGCAGGAGAACTCCTTTGGAGACATTTACTGCAGAGCTTTAGACTTGTTCGGGATACTCTGCTTTGGGCTCTACCGTCTGATGGAAGAGCCCAATCCATGCAAGAATAGGCAAGTACACTTCATCTGAAATGGTACCGTAAGTCAAAACAGAGTACTCATGACTCTGAAGTTAAACATTGTTATAGACGACCTGAATTACTTACTTTTGTCTTGAATTTAGATATCCTTGTAGGCATCTAGGGCCATTTGACGCAAGCTGGTGTGTGATCTGAACATCACTCTCTGACTAATTCTGGGGACTCTGACCAAGTGAGCCTTCTTAATTAGGGAGTTACGGGAATAGGAAGTTGGTAATGATTCTGAGGGCATGGATTTCAGAGAATTTACAAGCAGAGAGAACTTCCTTATCAAGCATTTTCTACTCAGTGAGCCTTAAAATTTTGAGATTTTAGTGACTGCTTGAGCTTCAGATCTCTTTAAGAGACATTTAGTCTTGATTTGAAGATTTTGAGCAATCAAGATCATATCTTTCAGCAGCCGTTGCAGAGACCAATTAGCTTCATTTAAAAATGTATCCTATTCTTAGGTAGAAAGATAGGTAAAATTAGGCCCTCTGTACGTTGTCTGATCGTTCCAAAGAATTCTGCAGATGCAATCAGTCATTGCAAAAAAAAAAAATCTGCAGCTTGCTAGCTACCATAGACATTCAGTTGCAAGACCTCACAAAGCAGTCTGAATCTCATGTTCTAGTGCTTTTTCAGGTTTGTGATTGCTCGGCCCCGCAGTGATTTGGAGATGCTACCTACAGATCTGCTCTTCTGTATTGTTCCATTCAACATTGCAACAACTGATGACCTGTGACATGGGATGGAGAGTCGGTTCCAAGCAAGAAAACAGGTAGTAAAGACAGCCTCATGCCAAAGTTATGAGAGATTGTGAAATGCCTTGCAAATAAAGAAGAATTGTACAAATTATTAAGACCCCACAATACATTTTCTTGGTTCTTGTTTCTTAGGGGTGCCGTGGGCAGTTTCAGTTTGGCTAAACATTGGCATGAGATTATCATTGAAAACTGTATTGTTAAACTCTGATATCAGACTGGGAGTAAAATGCCTCTCTGCAACGAAAAGGACAAAAACTTGAGCCTCTGCTAAGCCCTGCACAGAGCAAACCCAGTTATATACAAACTCGATGTCTGGGTCAGATTTAGAGATTCTCTGCTGATTTTCTCAGTTCAAAGAATACAACGCTCTAAAATATACTTTTCTTGCAAACACAACTGAAGATGCTGGAATGATGTGCATTAAAAGAAGTAAAATAAACAAGCAAAAAAACCCCTATGAACTTGTACCATAAATCAGATCCCGCCCTTATGTTACAAAGTCAGTTGCGGGAAGCAGGAGAGAGGGTTTTTTTTTCCTCTTTCCCCTAACACTAATTAGGTTTGAAAGACTGCAGCTTGAGTCCAGATACCACATGCTGGGAAGAAAGGAACCCAAACAGCTGACGCAGAGTTCAGACTAAACTAACTGCAAGCTCCCCAGGGACATCACAAGGTAAACCTGATAGTATCTGTCATTTACAATCATTATCAGGCAACTGAGTCTCTGTAATTTTACTAGGAAGCCAATTAACAGAACCCTGAAGCTCAAGAATAAGGTCTTGGTCCTTTTTCTGTTTTAGACAGGAAGAAGGGAAAGTAAAATCTTTGTTTAAAATAAATACCCCAGGAGCCTTCCCACCAGGGGAATGGTCAGATCCGGGCTAGCACTTTTCCTTTTGAGGAATAAGTTAAAGCACTGAACTCAAAGTCAAGCAGCTGACTTCAGTACCAACTCTGCAACAAGTTGACTGTATAACCTTAGGTGAGTTATTTAACTGTCTCTATCCTAATACTAATCCCTAATCCAGGGAAAAATAACAACATAGTTGTTAATTTAGATTATGAGAGCTTTGGGGAAAGAGCTGTCTCTTGTGGTTTGTTTAGCCTAGCATAATTAAGTTCTGATTTAGGAGACGTTTAGGGACTCTGCTCAAATAACATGAATAAGAAGCAAGAGAAAATCTTGGACCAAAATTCCAGATGGAAACATATCTGCACTTGGAGAAGTTTGGAATTTGGATTGAGATCTGAGCCTTAATGTGTTGGGCTCATCTTCCCTGGAACAAACTAATCATACATTTTCAATTCAGGACAGATTGCAAGTAGTAATGGGTGAACCATGCTTAGAGCAAACAAAATACCATAGCAAGCGTGCCTTCTCTTTGCCAGCCCTTTGCAGACCTGAACTTGTGCCAAGACAGTCATCTGATCTCTTGGTAGGAGCTTTTTGGCCTAAAATCACCCACTGTATATAGAAACTCAGATAAAAATTTGTGCACTGGATTCTGCTCACCCTCTGGCAGAATGAGGCTTCAGTAATACAGTACTTCAGTCCGTTCCCTAGCATGCATTATGTTAAACAGGCACGACAGATAAAAGGTGGAAGGAACAGCCTAGGCAGGCTTTGCAGTGTCCGATACAAGCGTTAGGAAGAGCTGAGAATTGACTACAGAGAGTAGCTCATACTAAGACTCCCCGCAAGCTTTCTAAATGATCATCATCTAAACCCTTCTTCATTTGCAGCTCTAATTCTCTTAGTCTAAGTAGAGCACAGAGGAGGTAACATCCCTGTTTTTTTCTTACTGTTCTATTGCTTTTAAATAACTACACATACCTGGAACTCTGTTCTTATTTTAAACAGGTCCTGTGCAATGTTAAGGCATTTTTATGACAAAAACTGCAAGAAGCACCAAAACCTATTTACTTAGAACTTTCCTGAGTGGATGAGAAACTCGGATGATCTTGCCAGCAAACTCTTCTTTCTGAAATCATCTGCTTTGTCTAGAAAATGGGGACAAACGTTGAAAGTGCTCCTTCATGATTGAGATCCAGAACCTATTAGTTCTAGTTCTAAGGTGCAAAACACTGGATACTGGTGGTGATTCTCCTCTTACACTGACAGCGTCTCTGCGATAGGGGAATATGCCCATCTCCAGTCACGGAGCTTTTCCAGTGCAGCATATCTTCAGTTGCTTAACCTTCAACTGCTAGAGCATGTACCATATACTTCACTGGGGTAAGGCAGGGCGGGTGAGAGATGACAAGGTGAGGAAAGGACCTTTTTCACTTTGTTCCTTCCACCTTGTTGTTTGGTTGCTGTCTCTGTGCAAGCAATTCTGTTTCTCATGGAGGAAGGAAGGGGGAGAGAAATCCTAAGGAAGGTAAAAGCATTAATGGGTCAGGGCCTCCTTTGCATAATTCTATTATCACCAGGAAGATTCTGTAGTAATCATGTTAGGCATGTGCTCTGGAGCATCAAAGTGACTTGTCTTACCTTACTTTTTGATGTTAGACAGATTTAAATGCTTTGTACAGATGAAGCACCTCAGGCAGCTGATCAAGAAGGCATGTGCTGTTCAAGAAAACCAAAGGCCTGTTTCGTTTTTTTTTTTTTCTTCTTAATGTCGACAGTGCCACATTCTTCCAGCAAGGAATAATTTCTGTTGTCACAAACTGTGAAATGCAAAGGTCTAAGAGAGAATCTGTGTATGGATGCATGCAAACATGCTTTTTTTTGAAGCTACAACCTCTGAGATCTCAGCAACAGAATCTTCTTGTGTATTGGTGGGTAACATGCAGATATTATTTCAATAAATTCAGTGCCTGCAGTGAAAACCACTGTGTGGTACACAAAGCTGATACAGGATCTCCGCACTCTCATTTGCTAATCTGCCCCCATTCTAAGCTGTAAAGGTCGCCTCAGCGTGTGGAAGGGAGATAAATATTAGTAGAGTTTATTTTTTTAGCAATGTTACTGGAGTCTCCAACTGAGTTCTGAAGCTTTTTGTGTCAGGTGCCAAACAAATACAATGAGAAGTTGTCCATGACCTAGTGTGTTTATGTGGTATATTAAAAAAAAAAAAAAAATTAAGGCAATCAGAAGAGGTGTAGTTTGCTCAAAGTCATATACCAGATTGGTGGTAAAGATGAAAGTGGAACCCAGGTGTCCTCATTCCTAGCCTAGTAGCTTTCCCACTGGGCCATTCTGCATCTCTGCTCTCACATCTCAGCTCCTGCTACATATGCCTAACATGATCATACCCTTATCAGTCTGTCTAGGGATCTAACAGAGTCTCTTCCAGAGGTGGCAAGAAGACTTCTAAAGTAGCCTTCGTGGAGCACTGCCTGGTTCATTATTTTCCATTATTTTCCCCAGGCATTGTAAGATGGTTGGCCTGTTCACAGAAGCTAAGAAATATCATCATGCTTTTTGAGAGGGAATTGCCTACCTGAGATTACAAACTAGTTGACACTGTTTCTGTCTTGTTTTTTTGATCTTCTGGGCCGCACTGTCATTTCAGGCTGGCAAATGAAGAATGGAACCAGAAACCTCTCCAGAGATGCATGCAGGGATATGTAGATTCTCCAGAGACTCAAACTTGCAAAAACACCCTAACACAGGCATCCACTTGGTTCTGACTACTGATACGGGCATGCAAACACAGAGGAACTCAGGCCTCTACAAAGAGCACTTGCCCAGAAGGAGATGAGTACACACATCCAAGCCTGGGTTGTTTTGCTCCCTCCTCCTTTGTGTAGTCAGATATAATCCAGCAGAATGAGTAGTGAGGGATGTCACTGCTGTGAGCTGGGTTGCGTTTTGCAGTACAGCATGCTGCGGGTGGTGACTGACACATAGTCAATGAGATCTGAGGAGAATCTAGACTCTATAAATGTTAGATGAAGCGGGCTGGGGATTGAGAAAACAAGATGTGGCTGCAAACACCAAGCGTCATTATTCTCTGAGCAGAGATGGTGAGAGACTGAGGAACTTCCCATGGAGTTTAACTACCACACAGCAGGATGAAGAGCCATCTCTTGATATGATGGGACATCTCATTGTCCTGAGAAGACTTGGGCAGGAAGGGTACGTGGCAGCAGGAGCAGCTTTTCAGAGTGTGTATACACAGTTCCCAACTTCTGTTGAAGCTTTAACGGAGTGGGTTTTTTTTCTTTTTTGTTGACACAACAGCATTTTGTTTTCAGCCAGAAGGAGAAGAGAAATCAGTCATTGGGACTTGGAATTTTGTTGCCTTGTAAAGTTTTCTGCTACAAAAGTGCAACCTCGTTGAGGTTCATTCTTCACAGTGGGATTTTTGGGACGGGGGGGAAAGAGTTACTAGTTTTTGTGAAAAAGAGTTGTATTTTTTTTAATTTCCTCCTTTATACAGAAGGATTCTAAGGTCGAGGGTAAAGGTTTAGTTCTGTTTTCCTCTAGTTTACTTTCTTGAATAAGCCCATACTAGTGGAAGCTTTAAAGAAATAGTACTGCTATGACTTAGTCTTGTGACTCTTAAATAGATTAATGTCTGAGTAGCGGGCATTTCTTTCTTTCATCTTAGTCCTATTAAATGCCCTTCTCTTCCCAGCAGTGGAGAAATAGATGTACCCATTTCCTACACGCTCCCATAAGTATCCAGGATTGGCTCTTGCCAGAGATGAGCCTGTTGTCTCCGCTGGTATGGCTATCCTTATGTACTTGCATATCCAGGGAACTACCAAAAAGAAGCAGCAGTCCTCAATGCCAGACTAATACATCAATCATAATTCCTGAACTGCCAGCAGTCATGTAACTGCTTAAAGACCTCAACAGCCCTCTGGCACTTAAAGAAAAAAATCATCTAATTAATCACAGGTGAAACAGCTTGGACCTACTCCAAAAGCCCCTGAATTTACTGCCAAGCTTTGATGCTAATTTTCCTTCTAAGTAACCCCCTAAAGAAATTTACGATTAGGTAATTAAAGTGATGAATAAAGAGATACTTAGAAGAAGGAGGGAGAAGAAAAGAAAAAA